GTCATTGGCTGACTGTATGCAACTCGATGATCGATCGATGAAGATGACGGCGACAAGGGCAAGCAGAGGGGTGACCGACGCTTCTACGTCTGAACAACAGTAAACATCTTCATCGACAACAGGCGCAGCCACAACGACGACGACGAAGAAGAAGACCAGCTTTAAAACACAGTAAGTAAACGAAGATCAAGCGGCGTCGATCACACGGAAAGGGGCTGTGTGACCATGACGAAGACGACTCGTCGTCCTTCGCTGCCACAACTGCGATGAACAACTTCCGACGACGGACGTCGACACGTTTTATTATGACATAAAATGAAAACTTGCCGCCGTTTACTGTCTTCCAATCGGAAGCGAGGCGATGACGCAACGGGGCGGGGCGAAAAGTTGGTTGGCAGAGACCGACAGCAGGTCGGTTGTCATCGTCGAACCGTACTGGCTCGCGATGACCGCGGAGACAACATTGTTGCTGCAGACGGTGACGGACCTCTGTGGCAACTTTGCTGGTTGCCTTTGGAAGCTCAGGTTGAAGAGGGATTACCGTTGGCTGCAGAATGACACAGTCGACATCTAGCTGGCGGGGTTCGTTCGACTTCCAGCGACGAGAGTTGATTACCGCGAGGCCACGGCTCAGAGGTTCCTTTTCGACCTTTCGGTGTTGGTGAATCGAGAGACATGGTGAGTTTCCACCAACGAGGAGCTGGGGTACAGCAAATGGGGGATGCTTGAAATGCGAGAAGTTCGCAGTTCTCACGACTTCAATTCTGGAACTATCGCGGGAAAGTTCTCAGCCAGCTTTGGACGATGGCCATAGTTGATTTCCTCTTAAACGTCTGCACTTGCAATTACTCTCGAGTAGTAATTGTTTGCCTGAATGCTTGCATTCAAGAGGAAGTGCATGAGGTAGCGCAGACAAGAGTGTCGGAAGACGAGGAAGACGTCGTCTGTTGAAGGCAGAGGCGGATCCCTCGTTTTTCGTTCTTCGTTCGTTGCGTTTTTTTCACACGATTTATTGTTTTACCTCGTGCGTGTGCGGATGTGTTTGACCACCGGGTTGTTCATGTCTGTCGGGAATAAATTTTCCAACTCACTGCAGCGTCGTCTTGTCCGTTGATTGGTTCCGATGTTGGGTCATAAATTATGCTTCAAGAATGCTGCTTCTTTAGCACATGCGCGGACGGACCAGCCGGCGAACGGACTGATTGAGAAACGGCGGGTCCGGGAACACGGCTCGCTGAGACTTGACGTCGGGCGCCTTTGGGTCGCTTTCCTTCGTAATCAAGCTTTCTTTTATTGCCGTTGTTTATAAAACACATGTCACCTACGATGGCAGCCGACCGGTGACACGTGGCCGACAGCCGTCGACATTCCACACAATTAACGAGGAACAGTGAGTCATCAGGTGAAGGTACGCCTCTTCAACTGCAATGTCAGCCCCTCGACCCTTAGAGAGTTTCCGCCTTTTCCTTGAAGCTTCCATTAACGGGCACAAACAGTGCTCGTCAGCCATCCAGCCGTTATTTATCAAATGGTAAGATATGAGTAAGGGGGGGGGGTGGAAC